AGAAACCGACTAGAGCCGACTAATAAAAGGAAGAGATTGGGCGAGAAAGAAAAGAACAGCTCAATTTGATACGAAAGAAGGCGTGCACGTGTTCGAGTTAAGTAGCGGGTACGCCAGTCTAACGCCGCTAATGTACATTTAATGTCTTAAACTTTGAATATGAACCGCGTGCTCCCTCCGCCAGAGATAACATCTTAAATATATCTTTGCATTTACCCTCAACGCGCGAGGGGTAAAAAAAAGAAAAAAAACCATGGGCTGCCATGGCGGACCCCGAGAAAAGAAAGTTTTTCGACGCGCCACGGAATGGCGCCGGCCGAGCAGCAACCAGGTAAGGCACTTTTTCCAAAGGATTTCCACCTTTTCCTCTCCTTTCCCCTCTTGCTCGTCGCTATTCTTTGGTACAAAGGTTACATCAAGAATCTACGATCTTGCCGTCGACCAGGGGAATACCAGAAGTTTTTCCATTCGCCGGAACGACGGAAGAAAAGCACGGTAAGCACGGCCTTCTCTTATTTCGTACACGAAATTCCTCTTTCTCTTTTTCCCTCCTTCTTTTATCTCGACAATATCTAAAAAAAAAAAAAAAAATAACCTATCCATTTCTATTTCTAAACTGACCCAAAATTTTCACTCTTTCTCGCGATCTTTGATGATCGCTTCGAATCGAATGAACCGCCGTATTGCGACGACTAATGACTCTACGCGGTATTTCGCAGATGCATTGGAAAGGCAAACATTCTCGAATTTCAGAATGCATTTTCCTTCCCTATTCAACCTTCACCGTAGCTTTATACATATATATATATCCACTCCTGTGGTTCAAACCTGCTCATTACACCCTGCGAGATTTTCTGTTTGAACTGGAGATTCGGTGAAATAAGTTCTGGCGCAGTATTCCATCGAACGACACGAAATAAATTTCGTCCCCTTGTTTGAAACTTTGAAAAAAACATCGATGAAATTTGATCAGGAGAAGATAACCAGTAAACGGTTGTTGTTTCGAAACTTCGTGTCTCAAGAATTCGACGCTGTCGAATCTGCATCGCGTACGTCTAAGGGGGACACTTTGCCAGAGACGCTCGCGACGAGAATCGATGGACAAAAGCGACAATAACCACGAGATCCGTTTGGCGGCGGCCAAACGAACCGACCACGATTCACTCGAATTTGTCCAGGTTTAGGTTTCTCCCGTTCGGACGAGTTCGTTCGTATGCATAGCCGGCCACGCTGATTGGTTGGCAAGCACGCAAGTCGGTGCAGTACCCGCGCCGTACAAAGTCCGGGAACACGATGCATGTAGCTGCACCGATTGCTTGGCTACACGGCCCGGCCGTGTCTCCGTGCGCCTTGCCGACGGATGTTGCATACGCGTTGTATTAATATGTATTTAAATTAGTGCCTCAAAGCGATCCGAAATTACTGTGCCACGCGGGTAGCTATCGATTCACCCGCCTCTTCTTCGAAATACCGTCGTACGAGGCATTTTCCGCATCGATGCATCTCCTTGCAAAGGAAGTAGTTAGTGTCGCCAAGTAATTACTAAAATAACTAATTCGGCGTTGGAGATGGATCTCGAATGAATTTTACGACAATCCTGTGTATATTTAGAGATTGCCGTTTCTCTCCCTTTTGGAAATATCACGAATTATTGTCGAATCGAACGTTCCACTTGATATCGGGTGTTTTATCCTCGCGTGTTCGAGAAATTTTGTTAGAAAATGTTATGTCTTTTTTTTTTTATTTCCGTGTAAAATTGGTGAAAATAGGCGTGAAAAACGTTTAACATCGAAAGGATCAGACAAACTTCGAATGTTTTCCATGTTATCCAAAGCAAACTCGAGCTACTGGATAAATTGGTCGGTATACAAAGCGCTGTTTCGATTCGATTGAAAAATAGCATTTCTTCTTTTTTTTTTTGTTAACCTTCCTCTCTTAGCCGAATGGCAAACGATATATAGTTATAAAAAATTAAAAACAACCCCGAGTCGAGGAAATGGTGGTGTGTGTAATTTTAAGGGATTCCGTTCAGAGTGGTCTAAAGCGTAAAACTTTTCCTTGGAACATATTCGAAAAATATATTCCAAGATATATGAATCGGTCGGGAGAGAAGGAGAGAAAACAATAGGGAAGATGGAGTTTAAAATTGCTTAACTCTAAGAATATCTATTAACAGTTTTCAGGGGCGAGTAGAGGCCAAAGAATGGTGGTCGTTCGTGGCCAGTGCACTAAATCGTTTATTAAAACTTGGAAAATAGCGAGCGAAGCGAAGCCGGAATTTATCTCACGACGCCTTAATATATCTTGTTGAACGGGGTGGTGGCGAAGGGAAGTGAACCACCTTCTTATTTAGCAATAATTACGAGTACCCGACCACCCCTGGTTGGCCGTCTTCGTGATCTTAAGACCTCTTTGCATCGGCTTTCGGCCCCATTGAAAGAGCCCCGATACCACCGAGAGATTGCACGTTCAATGGAAAATTGATTAACGTCACCAACACTAACGCGTAATATGTTTTATCAGCGTTTACCGATAACTTATACTTATTCGTCGAGTTATATACTCGCGTGGCAATCTTCTCTCCCTCGCTGAAATTTATGCCGTTCTTACCGTATTATTGAACGCGATCCACCCTGTCGACGAAAGCTCCCCTAACTAGAGCAACTAAATCATTCACAAAGAGCATCGATTTCCTGCTCGTCGAGTGTCCGCGAAACTGTCGAAACTTCGAACGCGTCGCTCGAAGCGATCTTCTTTCTTTTCGAAACGAACCTGATTAATCATCTTTTCTAACAATTTTAACGCGGGACGAATCAAAGGGATAAGATTAAGGAAGAAATTACATTAGAAGAAAAATCGGATGTTATGATAATATTCTAGGATGTTATATATTTTATATAGTTACGTAATAATGTTGATTATTTATTATTTAAGAGAGAAATAGAAGAAATCGTTTCATTTAACGCCAACTTAAACCTGCTTGCAGTTTGATCTAATAATTTTTACCAACAAATTTCTATCTATCTTGATCTCTCGAACATCGACTCTCTCAAAGGTTTTTTTTCCAAAAATATTTATGGTAAAATATTTTTTGCTTCCTATCGATCTTTTCCATTTACACGATGTACAATCATCGTGGAACGCGCCTCAATTTATGATCGACGAAATTTCGCATGTAGATGCAGGCCGCAATGAATATCTCGTTTTTCAAACGGGATATTTAAACTGCTTTACATTTAACGACCGACCGGCTGAATAGTTAAACTGAAACGAACGATAAGACGAATTCGTTCCATCGTCTGCAGATAATATGTAGAAGCGGGACAATTATCGGTATATTCAGAGTGAAGCGCCAAGTCTGCGTGCAGCAATTAGTAGCAACGCGTTACGTAGGTACATACGTACTTACGTACTTATGTATACCCTACCCATATGATACGATATAACGCGGTATGTACCCTCCCCCCCCCCAAGAGAAACGGCACCCAAGAGCCAAAAATTATATATATATATATATATATACACATAT